TTTATCAAATATTTGTTGTTTTCTCTATAGATTTACGTTAATCATGTGTACCATTACTTTAGATTAATACAATTAATTAATCAATCAATCAGGAAAGCTATGATTTCAAAACAAATGAAATTATTATAATTTTAGTTTAATTGCAAAAAAAAAACTGTATTTGCAAGAGTTCAAAGATAATTTAGCTTAAATGTATTTATGTACGAAGTGTCAATATTGTTTTCTGATAATTTAACGTTAATTAAACAATGGAATGAGTGGAATTAGTTGGTTCAATAAACCCGCAATTTAAATGTTACGACAAGGACGCAAGGACGCGTGTTTTCGTTAGGCAGATGTTTCGCGACTAATTTGATAGATTGATTAAGTGTGTGTGGTACGATCATCATTTTCGAGCAGGAAAAGGAAATTGCGTACGTGATTTCAAATGAAAGTAATGCAGCAACATAAACACGATTATTTGATGTTTGTCTGGACTTTGGCTCGGGTGCAAATTGGAATCTGCATATTGTTTAATAAATTAATTTTGTAAATCAAGTCGACTGGAAAAGAAATCAACTAAAGTGACAGCTGCTGTCATAATGAAATTTATGTTTATCTTTTAAACTATTGGTTGAAAATGATGATGTTCATAGATATTTAAATGCAATTTGTGAAAGTTAAGCAACGGTTTTACAAGATCCATTTTGAATGGGACAAATTAGCTTTTGCATTTTTTTAAAGTAATCCTGCTTAATTTCACTAACGTATTTTGTGCTTCATCAACTTGTAAATTGAAGCAAAGTTGTTAGTTTAATTCAATTTGCATGCAGATTCATATAAAATGTTTGTATTTAGAAATAACATATGAAATGTTGATTTTTGTATCTTCGAAGCGAATGGTTTTCCTAGTGTTTCGTTGATGGGTAAAAATAAAACGAAAGTGCGTGTAATTGAATGCCGGCAAGTAGGTCAAACGTAATAACTTATCCTCCTATCATCTCGACTCGATTTACGTCATTACGAGTACATTTCTATATATTTTATTTTATTTTTTTTTATACATTTATTTTATTTTTCGATTTTTGATCTCGTAGACTTTACACCTTTGCTCGCGTTTTCGGAACACGTGAGTACAGTCTCGTTTTACGTCGTCGCCACCGCAAAACAACGAAAAAAAACCTATAAAGCGGATTGATACGATTCGATAATTGCTCATTTCTACATCAGTTTTCGGAGCAATCGGCAAAATTTCGCTAAATATAGACGAATTTTTGTGGAGCACTCGAGTCCACGTAAAAATAGATTAACAGCTCAAATAATTAATAAAATACGTAAACAAATTTAAATTTTCATAATCTAAACATTTCATGATTGATAACTATATGTAATTATAAAAATATCTAATTGATAATCATAATAATTTGAATCATGAATACTAAAAATTGAATTTTCAAGTTGAATTATTTACTCAAATTTGATGCCAAAAATATATCTGAAACACAGATTATTTTCTCATACAGTGTATAAATAACTGAAGCACTGAATTTAAGTTTAAAATCCTAGAAATTAGACTCTTTACGTTTCAAGGCTCAATCAATGAGTGAAGGTTACTAAACCTCAAAGTTTTACGTTAATCTTTAACAGAACGTCTTTATCAGATTTGTTTGCCAAAACACGGCTTATCGATCGTCCGATGCGGATTTCCTTGGACTATCCTTGGATTCGCTAAAATCGAATCATCTCTTCCAATGTATCTGTCAACTTAAGTAAATTTGCGCTATTTTTAAGTGTTTGAGTGGATTCACGAAGTCCTCGATTGGGAAATTGTTAGAATAACTTTATCTTTGATACTTTTCAATTGCATTTAATCAATTTTTAGATCATAATCTACGTTTAAGTTCAATTGAAACCAAAATATATGAAGTATGATATAGAACATAAGAAATTATTGTATATTTTTAGAAAGAAACACAATGAATCATGAGATAATTCTTCGAAATTATTTCGTATCTCGAATTCAAATTAAAATAATTGTGAATTAAGTTCGGAGATTTAAATGACCTTAACTTCTTAATTCCTACAATCAAGCAGAAACCAATCTTGAATTCCAATTAAAATTGTTTTGAATTAGTTGAAAAATGTGTTAATTACTGTAAATTATTTGAAAAACTTTATAATAATAATGATCTAATTGTTTCAGATAAAACTATATGTGTTTAATTGATCTATGAGAATCAATTATAAATAAATTAGTTTATCGAGAGAACAGCGACAATTATGTTTTTTAAATCAAATCAATTAAGCGATTACGATCGAAACGTGCGTGTCGGATAATAGGCATCATGAATTGCAAATTTTTTTGTTGCAAAACTAACTTTGTTATTATGTTTTCTGTTAATTTTAGATGTAGGTAACTTATATAGATTGCATTCAGATTGGATGTGAATGGGTTCCTTGAAATCCGCTACAGGAATAACGCACAAATAAAACTAGTTTTAGTTTCAATTGCCCATGATTTATCTCAATGATTTTTTTTGCATTTTCTAAATGTTATCGCTGAGATTTGAGAGTTAATAAATATGCTTAAAATAAATGCTTGTAATATCTTGAAGAATTTCCTCTTCCCTTAGATTTTATTAATAAACTTTGTCTAATTTCTTTAAAAAATCTGATAAACTCTCTTATAATTCTTTTTGCAATAAAATATTTGTTGTTGAATTTGGATAATTTTAACAAATTGTTACAGAATAAAGAATTTTTAGATAAATGTAATATTTGTCAATTATATAAAAACTTAATTGTTGTAAAAAAAAAAGTACGTAAAAAGTAATAAATGATATAAATAGAAAATGTATTTAGATATTAATTGGAACAATCAATTTATTTTGCAAAGTATCTATCTATAGGAAAAAAAATGTAGGATAATCAAGATAATTGAGGTATTTAGTATACTTAAAATAATCGTAAGTAACTTAATCTTTTTATTGTTGATATTATTATATATACCTTTTTTTAAAGAATGGAAAAAGTTTGGCAAAGCCTTTTACTTCGTTATCGGTCACATTCAAATACGTAAATTTGTAACGATTTCCTGCACAGTGACGTTAATTAGATAAAGGAAACGAAATTTGTGATGGGATTGAAACACTTTCATAAATCCATTAAGTCGTAAATCGTTAATAAATACGTTTATTAAACTTTCGCAGCGAGAAGAACGTCATTTTATGTTTAATCTTTTAATTCTCACTCTTAAGTAATTTTAATAAGAATTATCAAAAAAAAAACTTATTTTTTAAAAGCAGACAATAAATTTTAATGTACTATTATAAATGATTGAGTTCTTAACAATAAAATTAATCTTTTGCAAAATATTCATTAATTCCACAAAGATGAATCTTGCAATGTCATGTAAACATATTATAATATGGGAAAAAATGTAAAAATACGTATGAGATCATGTTTTGAGCAGTGATTTTAAACGTTTTCTTTGGCGAAATTAATATGATTTTCATGTTCACAATGTGTGTTACAAAAGTATCAGTGAATGCATTGCACGAACGAACGAATGAACTCATAACTCGAGGGGTTTTACAGAACTCGTGGTTTTCCATCAAGGATTCCACGAATTTGACTCTCCTTCCGCACAAAGAACACATACTACATGCGTTATTTATGTTGGATGTTGAAATTTTTCAGACACGATGCGAATGCATTAAATCCCAATTACAAAATGTATGACATTCAAAAATATTCAACATTCAATTTAATGTTTTAAGAGAATTCATTAGACCACATTTGTTTGTAATAAATTTCATTAAACATTCACATACTTTGGATGAAGTGATTTAGTGAAAAATACCGAAAAATGGAATGTTAAAAAAAACAGTGAAGATGCGTAAGAAAACGTTTTATTATAAACAACGTGAAATGTTGAAAAATAAACAACAACATTGGAATTAATTTACTTTAATGTTATCTAAGTTCAAGATTGTCGATAACTGAATGAATTCAACTGAGTGTAAAAGAAGACAAACTAAATTTAAAGAAAGGTCGATTTCTGGAAAAGGACGAGAAAAAGAAGAGAAAACAGGAAACTTGATCTTTTTTTTTGTTGTTGTCGTTGAGAAAACCGACATTTCTCTTTCGAAATCGGGTGTGCGATAAGGGCAAAGATATTTCGAGTACGAATTGGAATGTACTTGAAAGCGAGTGATCCGTTTACGTAAAAATCACTTCAATTCGGAGATCCCGAACGTCGATAGCGTCGGAGAATGTATAGTTTGCATCTATTTTTATCCTGCAGAGAGATTCAATTAAGAGTATGATCGATCTGTCGATCGATATTCAATACGGAACCACGTGTTTAGCGATTAGATAATCGCACATTTAATCATTTCAATTTTTTTCATGTTTTCGTTCAAGGAAGAATAAAGGATACAGGAAAGGACGTTCGTGTACCTGCTTTGATTTGCATTTGCGTATGTCGCGGCCTTTTGGAAGGATTCTTTGATTGGATTTTTTGTTACGTGTACTTTTTGTAGTCATTGTTTCAATATCATGAACATTACATGTGTTTCAAGGAAAATTGTTATGATCTTGTAACGAATATGTGTTTTATTTTGTCTATAATAATCGTTTATAAGTTCTCGAAAATTTGTATTCAATATCAAAAATTTCTACTGAAAATATTTGTTAGTATCACTATTATATTAAAACTCTTCTATTAATGAAGTACTAGGAATGAAAAGCAGTCGTAACATGAATAAAACAGTAAGAAAATAGAGTAAAACATAATAAATTTTAAGAAAACAGGGAAATAAGTACAGATCATTAATTGAAATTTAAGAAACAATAATCCACATTCATTTAAGTGTGCCTTGGAAATTTAACTGTAGGTTCAAGTGAGCCGTGAGTTAAAAAAAAGTGAAATTAATATAATAAAATGTAAATCAATTAAAATGTTTGGAAGTTTAAGACATAAGTGTACAAAAGTTGACAAAATCATAATTTAAGTGTGCCTTGGATATTTAACTGTAAAACTAATCCAATAGTAACAAATGAAAATCTCAAAATGTCGTGTTGGGAATTGGAAAAAGAGAGAAGAAAAAAGGTGATGGCTCATTTCGTGCATCTCTCTAATGGTTCAAATAAAGGTAAACTCCGTAAATAGATGTGGCAATTAGCATATGCTTTGAGTCTGTATGTTAATACACAATTTGCGTGTCGTGTGTGTATTACATTCGGGCTGAAAGAGTCAGTAGACTGGAAAGAGTAAAAATAATATGTAGTGTATGAAAGAGACGCTTCGACGATGTGTTTTCAAAAGAAAAGGTACGTCAGATAAGGAAACAATTGAAATTAAATTAATTTGATGCCTGCACGAAGCATTTACGTAACGCTAAGATTATAATTTATACTGTTTTCAATTTACGATTATTTCTTTATTTATATCTCACTGATTTATTACTTCATTTTTATTTCCAGGATTTGCGACGCAACAACATGGACGAGCAACAACAATGGAATCATCGTCGGTGGTGGTGGCGGTGAGCTGCAGTTTTCTTTTGATTGTTTAATTTAGTTACAAAATGTGTGCAACTTCTCATGCGGAAATTGCTTTTATTCCTCCCATCACACACGTGTATTAATTGCGACCACGAACACGAAAACTAATAACAAATATTAGTGTTTGACTTTGACTAATTAGCGAAACGCTTTAGCTAATTATTAATGAAATGAGAATCACAGCTTCAACTGTCGTCGTTTTCGTTATAAAGATTTTTTTTGTTCTTACGATTTGAATTCCTTTATTATAGTAACCATACATATTATACACATTACAAATATATACTCTAAATATACTAGAATCCAAGTCTTAAATTTTGGTGGTCAATAAATAACGATTCAATATCATTTCATATTCATTACTTTGTGTTTTGTTTTTGAGTACAAACCACGAAGAAACTTAATGACTAAAGTACACATAAAATATAGATTAGGCACAACCATTTCACATTCAAATATTGTAAGGCACATAGAATCTTTCTTTTTTATCTTTTTTATCTTTTTGGACAGAGGCACGCATTAGGCTCAGTTCGAAAACATACATACTGTTTTAGCTCAAATCATCAGCACGAGCATTAGCTAAGCTAGACAATAAAATCAATTTCATAATTGTTTCTTTTTTTTCATTCAATAATCCAAATTGAAATATATATTTTTCGTGCATCCACATATTGTATTTATGTGTTCTTTGGCCGTAATCGAGCTTCAATTGATTGGCACATGAAGTTTTTTTCTTTCTAATTTGATTTTTTAACAAATTCAATTGGATTATATTATTTTTTATAAAGTAATCATGAGATCTCAAAACTCATAGTTTTACACTAGAGTCATTTAGACTGCGCCGTCCGCAGCAGACGCGCCCTACATTAAGATAATATCACAACCATGTATAGATAGAAAATAGATGATGAGAAGAGCTTGAGAAGCTTATGTTAAGTTATGACTATTATTCGCACAACCAATCGCACGGCAATTTGGGCATTTTGCTTGCCGGCCAAGGAAGGTATCCGGCAGTCTTGAAGATCCAATAATCGTAAGATACTTTGGCGATGAGGAAGACTAGCAGCAATACTTCGGTTGCTATTATGTAGTAGATGTAATCGGTCCAGTCGTGTTGGCTCTGGCACAGCTTGGACGGGTCCAGATCGCTCACCTTCATATCCATATTCTCGCAGTCGATCTGATCGTAATCGGGAATATGCTTTTGCTTCGTCATCAGCCATACCTAAAACAATACAGTTTATAAATCAAAATATTTCTATTGATAATCTTGAGTTTTTCTTATACGTGATCGTAATTACCTTCAGCACTTTGGCTGTGTTGCAATCGCAGAGCAATTTGTTATGTCCGAGATTGACTCGTCGCGAATTGTAATTCCTATCGAAGATATTCGTCAGAACGTAGGTTTCGATCTGGAATGAAAACGAAGAAAATTGGTTAAATGATCGATAAATTATAGGAAATTTACTTTTTCCAATTTGTTATGACTGAGACTGAGCGCGACAAAGTTCGTGATGAATTTGCTTCCCTCGAGCGGCAGAATGGACGTGATCTCATTGTGATCGGCGTACAGTTCGCTCAGGCTCTGGTAAGAGGGATCCTTGCTGACTGGTTGCAGAGACGTTATCTGCGGGAGAAAAAAGAAGAAAAAGTCAATTAGTTAATTAAGCAATTAGCCTTAGAGTCTCTCTCTCGGGAGGCACACACATTGTTGAAGGAGACATTCAGAGCCTTCGTGTTCGGGGGCAACGGCGACGGAAGTTCCGTGAGATGCTGCGACGTGCAACTGACGTACACATTGATTATGGGCGATTTTCCAGGTACGATATCGAATCTCAATGGTTGGCATGTGCAGTTTATCGTGCAGTCCTTCCTCAGCTGACAAACAAAAAAAAAACAAACATTTATTTATATATATATTATTTTCAATTTGCAATTAATAAACTAATCTCAATGCAAGAACGAATGTGTGTATTTAAATCCGACTAATTACTCGAATATATAATGAGACACTTTCAGACACATGCACACACAGTTAAATTAAATTTTACTTAATCAAACAAATTTTGTTTTTGAAATGTCACTAGAGGATGGCCGTTTGTTTTGATAATTAATTGTGTATATCAGGGGTTCTCAAACTTTTTCAGTTGCCGGCGTCCTTAATATAACAGAACTCTTCCGAGGCGCCCCAAGTCAAAGCATTAGTCTATCTCAGGATGGACTTTATGTTCGGGAACCCCTGGTGTACGCTATACATTTTATATTACTACTAATAGCATGAATTGCAGGTCTATCAAAGGAAAATGCAGTTATTGTAAACTGCAGTCGTTCATAATTACTTCGTTGACACGCTCGATCTGCTCCAAAGGCACCAGCTCAGTCGAATTGAACCAGTCGAAGGTTTTCGAGGACAGACACCAAGTTCTGTTCCTATTGTTAAATTGAATGTCGGAGCGTCTTATTGTATCGTTCAGACTCGTGCACAACATCGGTTTATTATCTACAAAAGCCTTTTAATTATTAGTAAAAAGTCATCATCATCAATTATACTAGAGCACCTGAAATATCCAAAGATACGATTCCCTCTTTCTTAAAGTGCGGCACATCCGTCAAATTGTTATTGGACAAGTCGAGCTCCCTCAAATTGTAGAGATTGGCCAGAGCACGATCCTCGATCCGGTTGATCCCGTTCGACGAGAAATTCAAGCAGGAGGTGCTCGCAAACTTGACGAACTTCCCGACTATATTAGTGATATTACCATCCGTGAACGCCATCGAGACGAGACCGCGCCACGTAGTGTAATCGGAGAGGTTAAGGGTGCTCAGGGTGGCGTTCCTAATGTGAATCGAAGAGATGTTTATGCGGTTCACATCTAAATCGTAGAATGTTAGAAAGAACAAAAGAAACTAACTAACAGTAGTATATAAATACGTACTCGCGCAGGCTAATCCATCGGATAATCCGGAAGCGTCCACGTCGCAGCAGATGACGGCCGTCTTGCAGATGGCATCCACTTTGCACCTGCAGATGTCCGTAGCGGCAGGACAATCCGTCTCCGGTCTATGGTAGCAGTCGGGCTTGTCGCACGGATCTTCGGTGGGAAGCGGTTCCATCCTGCACCAGCACGGCAGGATGGTGAAGGACAGCAGCAAAAGAAGGGAGCATAATCGCCACATCTGTAAGTTTTACTGTAAGAGTGAGCGAGTGAAATTTCCTTTTAATTTTGTTTCGCGAATCCGCGTCCCTCACTAACTCATTAAATATTTGTGTTGCGTTCATTAGCTGCGACTTTATCATGCAGATAACACACGCTAAGATTACATTCGCTCGGCGATGAAGCGCTTTCATATTATATTGGTTTCACATGCTACATATTAATCTCAATTTAAACCTATTATTAAAACGGCAGCTCAATCGAATGCTATCATCCAAGAGCAACAATATGCAAATATTCGTTCGATATCGAAGCCAATGCGTATTTACCTAATGATTACCAAGCAAAAAATGTATTCTAGAAAACAACACTCGATTTACTAATAAGTAATTGTATACTACTACATAATATAGAAATGCTGATCATAGAAAACTGTCTAAATATATAGTATTATGAGATGACGAAAGATGGCAGCTGTCATTTTGATACCCATTAAAGATGGGATGCTTGAGAAACACTGTTATACATCATCATCATAGAGGCTTACTAATACTTATTTTATGTCATAATTTAAGATTTTAATTAAAGAAGCTATTTCATTTAGAATCTTGACTCTTGAATATACATAATATTAATTAATTAGCGATGAATTGAAAACTTACGAACAAATACTATGAGGTAGTTAGTGTTGCAATATACAAGTGTTGATGATAGGAATTATAATAGGATTCCTCATTTAGAACGACCTAAAGCAACCTTGGAAATTGGTAGTTTCTCCAACGTTCAGCACTGTTTAATTATAGATTACAAACACTTATATTTCGTAATTATTGCTTTAAAGGTCTAAATATTTTATTTGCCAAATAATTTAATTGATGCAAACACATCCCAAGATCAAAGAGAAATCAATATTTGTTGAAAAACAACAACGTGCATCAATTTTAATTATAAATATTGATTCTATGATGGAATTGAAAGCCACTAAATAGAATGTACATATTTTTTCCAATTCGAAGAGAATCCTTGAACGTATTTTTCTTTTATTTTCAATAAATTTGTTAATTCTCGCAATATTTTAGATTTTCAACTTATCTATTTATAGTTTATTCTCTCTGGAAATGGAAATATTTTGGTAGTAACTTATTTTTAGATCTATTTACATGTATGATTAGTGCATAGACAATAGACAATCACTAAAAATAAATCAACTATTCATTGACAATATGCAATTGTTTATTTATGCTAAAGAATTAGCTAAATTTGGGTGTCAAAATTGTAATAATTGTTCAAATAACAAATGAAGACTAAATATTGTCATTGAATGGAAAAGGTTAAAGGTCTGAAATGAATTCAATTATAGACGTGAATTCAACGTTTCCCAATCCATGTCGACCGTTTCCATTCCAAAATGCACAGACTCCTACGTTCCAAATAGTGGAAATGTATTTTAACCTAAACGAGAATTAAACCATAATAATAAACGTCCAAATTACTGGATTTCCGCTCGTTGCGTTACCACAGATACGTAAACAAGGAATGAATGTAACCTTCGGATATTTGCGAGCACTTCCTTGTGCACTTGTTCATGCGATTTCTCACCTGAGCAGAAATTGGTGTCTTCAACATCCGATCATGTCTTCTTCGGAATTCCTCACACCACACACTCGAATAAGGAATTGTCCCTATTTATGATGTGTCTATATCTATGTAGTGTGCACGATCTACAGTAAACAATTAACGAAATTATTGTAGGCGACAGAACTGAAGTTGCTTTTGGTCGAAGGAAAACTGATAAGGAGCGACAAATTGGAAGGCAACAAACCGAACGCTGCATCAGCTTTGGTTTCATACACTTCTGATACATTTGATTTACAACCGTGCGTGTTTGAAACAAAAAGCAGAAACTGCTGCTGTTGCTATATAATTAGAAAAAGCAACAACAACAGCAAAAAACAAGTTATTAAACTATACATTTTCTTCAATTTCTACACTTTATAGTTTATAATAATGGAATAGAAAATAACGTATACATAATTTCACACTCATTACAAACTTAATTTAGATTAATTAATTAACACAGTTAGTTTAGTTTACAAGTAAACTAATGTAGAATTTGATTTTTGTTAACAAATCGAGACTGTACGTTCTAAGAATCTAACCTCATTTCGTTTTAGGTTTTAGTTAATAATCACGTAAACATCAAGTAATAAGTATTAAAACAGTATTTTTTTTAATAATCCAAATTGTTTCTCTTTTGTTTATTTCAAATTTTGAATTATTTTTTTAAAATTAAACCCAATTACAGGAAACTGTAACTGTTCCAGTTCCAAAAAGTAAACATGGGCTGCGCATTCTCATCATGCCCAATCCCAAATCCCGGGAACTGATTAGTTGGTTGCTTGAAACATCTACCTGCTTGTAAATAAACAATTGATGATTTTTAGGTTACTTTTATTGCCATACCTGGGGTTCATATAAATACAGCAGTTTTCTGCATTTACCATCAGTTTACACTTGGTTTTCATCTGGTGAAGTTCGTGTTTTCGTTGAGTGTTGCTTTAATAATTGTAGAGGCAAGATGAAAATTGCTGTGGAAGGATGTGCCCATGGAGAGCTGGACAACTTGTACAGTTCTATTCAGGCGCTCGAGGAAGAGAATAATTATAAAATAGATCTGCTGATTTGCTGTGGAGATTTTCAATCAGTGAGGAATGAGAGAGATCTTCGTTGCATGGCAGTGCCAGAGAAATATTACAATATGTGCACATTCTACAAGTAAGTTTATATTGAGTCTCGAACATGCTTATGTTTATGGCAACATGATTTTGTGAGAACTTGGATCATTTTATATGTATACTTTTTTCAGATATTACAGTGGTGAAAAGAAAGCACCTATTCTGACTATCTTCATTGGAGGAAATCATGAGGCTTCAAATTACCTGCAAGAACTTCCTTATGGTGGATGGGTGGCCCCCAACATTTACTATCTAGGATACGGCAGTGTTATAAATATAGGAGGTTTGTAATTCTTAATTTCAATATCATCCCAACAGATTTTTTCAATAAGTATGCTATTTTAGGGATACGAATTGGTGGGATATCAGGAATATATTCACCATCCGATTACATGAGGGGTCATCATGAAATCTCTCCATACGATGATAAAGCAAAGAGGTCTGTTTACCACACAAGAAACATTGAGGTGCACAGATTCAAGCAGTTGTCGGGACTCGTCGATGTGTTCATTTCTCACGATTGGCCTCAGGACGTCACAGATCACGGCGACGTTAATTCGCTAGTTAAAATTAAACCATGGTTCAAGTAAGTTCTTCAGTTTTGGAAATTGTGATTGAAACTAACGAACGTTTTTTTATTGCTGCAGGGACGATATTAGTAAGGGCAAGTTGGGTAGCGCTCCGTGCAGGGAAATCATGAGCACGTTGAAACCAAAGTATTGGTTCGCTGCACATCTTCACTGCAAATTCGCGGCGCTCGTCGAACACGACGACAAAAGCACCACCAAGTTTTTGGCTTTGGACAAGTGTCTTCCTAAGAGAAAGTTCCTTCAGATTCTTGATATTCCTAGCGAAGAGACAGGGGACAATGGCGTACACATAAAATACGATTTGGAATGGTTAACAATCCTTTACTTGACGAATCACCTGTTCAGCGTTAAGCAATCAAATAATTATTTACCTAGTAAAATGGGTCACGAAAGGTAATTACTTTTATATCAATAATTTATTACGTTATCCATTAATAATCCATTAATTTTAGATGGCAATTTACTCCGACCGAGGAAGAGAAGCACGAAGTTCTGAAGATGTTCGGCGATTTAACAGTGCCATTAAACTTCGTGAAGACTGTCGACAGTTACGTGGCGGGGACTCCGTTCAAGGGTCCCACAGTTCAACAGCCTAAAGCCGTAATCAATGCGCAAACAACAGAGTTTTGCAAGAAATTGGGAGTGATTGACCCGACCGAAGAGATTCTGAAATCGCTCGCGGGTTATTCCTTTAACCTTAGCGGCAATTCGGAGAACAGCAGTTATACCTCTGTCATTGAAGATGTGGACGTAGCGAAGGATATCAGCGAATCTGCTGAAATCTTGTCTCCTCTTAAGAGGACGGGTCTGAGCTTGCCTAAACCTGTTAACGCAAGAGAAGAAACGGAAGAAGATGAAAGTCCGCGTAAATACATCAAAATGTCTGATGAATGCGACGATTTACCGCAGGTGAAAGAGACTGACGATGCAAATAACTTTACGAAGAAGTTCAAGAGACGCAACGCTAGTCTTTATGCAACAGAAGAGACCGAATAAATTTAAAGTTTATTCGATCTATTTGTACATTTTTTGTAAGTATCTGTGACGAATTGTATGGATATAGTATCCACAAATTTATATAAATGTATCTATACACATAATAAGAGAGACTTACTATGTGTATGTATATTGAATGTACATTCAGTTATTTCTCAATATGTATTAATTTGTACATAACAGTGCGGGTCTTCAGGGTAGGGACGGATTCCTCTATCCTCGTGTTTCTTAGGTACATAACGACTGTATGTAATTGATTTTATAATTGTAACTATAAATAAACAACAAAATAATTTTCATTATATTTCAACTAAAAATCTTTCTTAGAACCTTTAAAACGATTTCAACAAAATTCTAGAAAATACAAATATTCTTCCTCTTCCAACAATGACCTTCCTTCCTGGAAACCCCTTCACATTTAACTGGGTCCTGTTGGTAGGATCATTTACTATCTACAATAATTAAGCAAAATGGTGAGTGTCAGGTCGAAACCTTTGCAAATGCAGTAAATTGACCTGCTATTAGTTAGTTAGATTAGTTTAATAAATACTAATAATACTAATTGAATTGAAACAGCGCTCAAACCGTTGAACTATAAGCTTATAATTATTGCTTACAGATGGAGCAAAGCGGAATTATTTCAAATTAAATAATTAATTTGTCTATGGTCATCTTCAGGACAAATTGCAAAGCTTGAAGTTCAACCATTTTGACGCTGTTTTAATACCTAATTGAAAATTAAGGTTTTAATTGCAAATATGATTATGCAGAAATAGTTATATTTGTATAATTGCAAGCATAATTTAAATTTAAGTTTTTGAATTTAAAATGTGCGTATTTTCTCTGTAATATTCAAAAAAATACAATTATAATCAAAGACAAAGTTGTTTTAATTTTAAATTTCTATTTGAGGTATTGATCAATTGATTAAGATATTAATTATTGAAGTTCTTTTTATATATCATTATACAGTATTTTAAATACAATTATAAATCAATAGACTCATTTGAGTTCTGGGAATGTGTAATTCCTAGTGATGAGCAAATCGTATTTGCTGGAAGTGATGTAATCCAAAATATAATCTGGTACCTGCAATAAACATGTATCATTGTGGATTTCCAATAACTCTGAGAGTAAAAAAAACTAAATGGCACAGATAGGATTTATTGTTGATAAGAGCGTAGTATTTAAATGAGCATAGCATTCATCAAGTTGCATATGCTCTTCAGTTCTTTCAGTAGAGAAACCTGTCTTCTGAAACGGTCAGATGGCGTTGGTTGCTATTTAAAAAGCAGCATTCCAGAAAGTAAACAATAAACATTCCGGTACATCCATCAAAGTGCCCCCAAAGAAGAAGAAGCCGCATGCCAGCAGCTTAATTGGTGACCATATGTGAGGCCCGGTTCGCTTGCATCTTTGCGAGATATCTTCAGTTGGAAGCTGCACGCATCGAAGGACTACGATGTCCGTACAACTTTAGTTCTTGTTAAATTAGAGGTTATAAACACACACACACACACAGACCGTCGAGGTCCGCAGACGAAGAGGAGGAAACCGAGAGCGGTGAGTGCGGAGCGAGGATCAAGCTCATCCACCTGTTGGATTCAATTAGATCAAGGTCACTGGCGTAGTTCACTATTTACCAACCTTTTGTTTTCATTCTTCTTCTGTTCTTCCTGTTTTATTTAACGTTTGAATGAATGCACGCATTAACTTTTTTTTTTCATCCCGCTAATTGCTCTGTTTTATCTTCCATAATCGCTGTTCACTAATTACACAATTATTTTCAAACGAAGATAAAACGTTATTATCGCATCAAATCACACCGATGGCATCCATTAAAAAAAGTAACAAAAATAGTGAAGATGGTTACAGTTTCTTTGTTTTGCTAGAATTATGCCAAATTTATGACTTCAGCTTTTGAGTGAATGTTAATGAATGTTTGACAATCAATATTTTATTATGTAATTGTTTCTGTATTGACTTTCGAATAAATATTTGTAACTAAGGCAACAATAAATATTGTTTATTTTATTATGTAACCACTGGGTAATTGTTTCTATGGTGAAAACAAATATTGTATATTTTGTTATGTAACTTCTGTATTTCAAACACGACTCGTCATTAAGTTAAAATTTTTTATTTATTTATTTTTTGGGAAAAATACGAATACGTTAATTACATGTTAGTTGATTAAGCGAATGACCTTAATTCCGGCAATTTCGCAAACGCCATAATTATGGTTGTGGTTTTTTCGTGGTGAGTTGATTGATATCATATGACCAATTTATTTATGTTCTTTTGCGTGTGCCAATTATCAACGAGCACTTACATAATGCACATCAATTTCCTAAGTGATTTTCCTTGTGATATCCATCCATCAACCGAAGATAATTCGCGTTTACGCAACGGCCGTCCGCTCGGTTAATTCGGCGCTAATTCTATTAAGCGAATCGCTAATTGTTACCAGAAACAAACGTGCCTGGTATTAAAGAAAAAACAAAATTAGGGTCACTTAAGTCAATTAAGTCTTAGATCGATTTCTTCGAGAGTGGAAGTTTACAAGAATCTCGCTGAAATTTGTTTGAACGAAAGTTTGGATCATGTAAATATAATTTTATATCTACAAAAATTTGATTATAACTTTGCTTCGAATCTTTAAAAAAGGACAAATAAAGAAGGAACAAACATTTATGAAGAATTTATGTAATAAATCATTCAAAAATGTTGCATTTGTATTAATTCAATTATGGTATTTGTACAAGTTTCAACGTAACAAATTTGGAACCATTTATATAAAATCCACTGGAAATTGGTTTGAACTTGAAAAATACAAGTGCTTCCGCATTCAGGAAATCCCTGACATTCCGAACGAGACGGACGGTTTGAAGATATACAAAAAAGCTTCTGAGGTTATTGGGTTTTCAGGGCTGAAAGAGCGATCAATCAACGCGGTTTCTAGACCTACAATAATGTAATATAATTGATGACTGTTATTTCTTTGTTGCAGAAGGTCTACTACAGTGGGAGTGACGGCTCGCAATTAATTATCCGAATCGAAGATCTTTTCACACGGTAAGCTTTCCCATATTATAATATAGAGTAAAATAAATAAATGTCTATAATTTGCAATTTCAAAGAACGAAAAATTCATAACAAATCTTTCCAATTAAGTATATGAGTAAAGTATACAAATAAGTTATATAATACGCAATATAATCGAATGAATAGTTTTGCGTTTATTCAGCGAATTCCATCAATGATGCGATGCACTTGGATGTGTTTACGTTAACAATTTAAATGGTGGTGTTAGGTATTTCTTGATCGTAATACGATGTGCGTATCCTATGGTGTCTGTTGTAATTGGAAGGTATTGAAAGGAATAAGTGAACTATAAGAGATGTCCGGTTGAGCAAATCCTGATCAATTGCCAATCGGGCCGTGAATTGAGAGGCATATCGATTCGTCGACGCTCCAAACAAATCAAAATCCGAACCAAAGGGTCGCACCAAAAGCATTGAAGTGGTGATAGTAAACTTGCGGCGGTCAACACTCATATGAAGAATTCAGCAGCGACAGCGATTTTGATCTGCTATTCCATTTCTCTTTGTTTCACTTCCATCACCGTCTCTTTCTCTCTCTCTTTGCGTGTGCTTTGTATTAGTTTTTTTTTGTTGGTTCGCCTCCGTTGGACCTCAGTTCTAAATCACTTGTGGACGAGAGCCGAGTTATATGACTTTGTAGTAGGTAGAATTGTGGTAGTTGTCGTTAGGAAGTGGTACTTTCACGCCGTGCCAATCTCACGATTGTTCCAACTGTGCTTCTTCCCTCTTTCTCTCTCTCAGTGATGATTATTTCGATTCGAGTTCAATCACTTCCATCAATGGTAAGACACGATTTATAGTTGTTGCTTTATGCTGTTTTATTCCCCAAACGATAGTTGCGAAGTGCAGAAAAGTTCAACGAAATTTTCGAAATTGATTTTCTGCTGGCATTGAATGCGAATTCTAAATTTAAAGATCCGTACATTTGCTTCCCCATAAATCACTGTTGTTACAATGTTAACTTCAAAATTGATACATCCGCCACCAATTTTGTCAAACTATTTTGCGAATCTCACTAAAAACATGGTCTAATTTTATTAATGGAAATGATTGCACGTTGCAAGACACCACGTGTTTTTTTGGTTATTTAAGCAGATAAGAGCGGATTTGAACTATGGCCAGGAAATCCTCACTGACATGACTTATAATATTTATAAGATAACAACCTTTAAATACACACACTCAAACACAAGTCGCAGGTTTTCGTATACTTCGTCCTTTCTTTTTCTCCTGTTGTTTTCTGTCGAGTATAATTAATTTTTTCGCGGTCCCTCGGAAAAAATATAAATACGGATAATCTCGGTTGGCGCTGGGGGCGGTTATTTTTAGTTTGCGGAAAGGTACGGTCGCATAATATGATGGTGGCCGAGCGACGTACAATAAAAATACTTTAGTCTGTCCGAAAATTGTTAAGTTCCGAGTCGTATTATGTAAGTCTTCACTCATCAATCGATGTTTTAAGGGACTTTACATCGACTGAAATCACTTTGCACATTAATACAGTTTTGTGTTCTTTTCCTTTATAAATGTTTTAACGAATGTCTCAATTCAAATATATACATCAGTTATATATTGACTATAATTTTACTATGAAAATTCACTATAATTATTTAATCAAAAGATATTAATGGTATATCAATTGATTGTCTCGATACATCTGACAATCACTGACAGATGGTCTATGTTTTCATAGATATACCAATTTCTAATTTTAGTATAATCTTTTTGCTTTGATTACATTCTATTAAAATTATATAAGATTTCATTTAAATGTATGACATTTACTGACAGATGACATTGATGTCATATTGTAATCACATATTCATTAGAATCTAAATCTTGTTATGACATTATATGAATGAACATAGTAATAATAAGAATTTCAATAAGAATGTTTAAAATTTATTACATACTATCATTTTCGATAAGAAATATATTCTTGTTTATTAAATTTCAAACTAATTTATTTTGTACCAAAGAGATATTTATTTTGGTAAATCATTGTGTTTATTATATAATTGTTGATATGAAGAAATCTTAGTTTGAATTAATTTATCAGGCATCTTTCATGGAGCGCGCGAATTCCGGACGTAAAATTCCATCGATTTACGTAATAGTAAACGAAACAACAAACAAGATGAGAAGAAAACTGAGAATGATAATAATAACGATGATTTCAAGGACAACAGAGACAAGCGTT